ATGATTTTCCTTTAATGTATGTTCGATTTCATTTTTCGAGGCAGTAATTTTTTCGTTGTTAACGAGAACGACTGAGCATTGTGTTTAAAAGTACATTTTGATGTGATTTTGAATAAAAAAATCAGGGAAATAATTTAAAAAATTCTATGCTTTTTAGTTTTGCAAAAAATTGGTGTTCTTTTAATAGGCATTAGCAAATAAGTAGTACATAATTTTACAACTAACTTTATTGAAAATATTTATTAAAATATTCAATTTATATTTGTGTGATATGGCAAGAAGCATTCTCTCAGTTTACAAATAGAGAATGATTACAGATAAATAAATATAAATAATACATTATACCGAGCACGAGATGCATGAAATGGATGAAAGACGTGATAATATAATCTAATTGTACATATTTAAGTCTAAATTGCGTGAATGGAAATGAAAAATAAACAAATTATGGGATAAGTACATAACAAAGTTTACGTACTGAACAAATTTACAAATGTCATATTCAAAACACCTGTAGGTCTTGTATAATTAAATGTAAAATTTAATCACGTGATTTCCACAATGTCATCGACTTACACACAAAAATTCAAGGAATGCAGTTAGAAATATATTAATTAAAATTTTATCATTTTAGAAAGTGTACACAATTATGTGATTCACACAACGAGATCTACATATACACAAAAATTCAAGGAATGCAAAAATAGATTGCATTAATTTTTAGAAGACTATAAGAATTTGATATTATTCTTGATTAGTAATTAATTACTTTTGGCGGTGGGTAATAATTAGACTACTTTCATTTAATGAGCAATTAGTTGACGTCACTCGCCCATGACCCAAAGTGGTTGTAGATTACAGCAGTTACAACATGTGTTGTAAAAATCATTTATATAAAGTCAAGTGTTCTTTGGGCAACGTGCATAATATTTTCAACTGCTGGAAATTTGCTGAGCGAAAATTGCAAAACAGGGCAAATATCACTTTGCTGTCTTTGCGAACAACACTACACATCAGCAGTCTGGCGTTGATTATTGTAAACGAAGATCCCGATTATATGCCTGGCAGTTAGCGGACAAGGGCAGGCGGAAGGTGGTCGGACTGACGTTCAGTTTCTGCATGTTGACATTCAGTCTGCTGCATTGTTTCAGCGTATGTTATACCGTATAACAGTATAACTTATACGCCAGTTTGTTGTTACATCTGTACGGCAATATAGGGTGATAAAGATCGTGGGGTGGAAGAATGCAACATTTGATCAAACCTTCTGTGGTAATTAAATTTCCCATACGGCACTCGTTATTTCCAACATAAATATTTACAGGGATGACCCTCTGGGTATTTCCCGTGTTTTTTTCGTCGGAGTCCCAATTATGATATAGTTTGCACGCATTTGTGCGGCCACCGTAAAAAGCATTTCGAGGATTCATAGTCGAGGATTTACGACCATTCAGTCTCTGCACAAATTCTCATATATCAGTGTTGGTTTTTAGTATTTTGTTATATTCGCACTGCCATATTGATACCAAATTATATCCAACTGTCTTTAGCTGTTCTTCTTTTTCTAAAGTGTTTTCCCTGGGCAAGAAAAAGCACCATCCTTGTCGGACAGCTTAAACGCCTGGTTTAAATAACATTTTTCGCACCTATGAAACCAACAGCCATGGAATTCGTAAACTGTGTTTGTGGTTTCACAGAAGCGATCTACGAGCAGATTTTCAAGTAACCTAACTTCAAGCCCCTTCAATTCAGTTCAAATACATTTTATTTACAGTTTATGGGTTTACAATAGGGCTCCGTATTCTACTAACAATAATTTGTGGTGCAGCTGAGGCTTAGGGCCTTTTCAGCACAAGTTGACAGAGGGTCCTTAATATACATATTTACATTTCATTCCTAATATCTAAGACTAATACTACATGGATTATGATTTAAAACTTATTTACAATATGTACAATGAGTGGTGGTGGGGTTGTAGGGTCCAGTGGTTGTCGTTGTCGTCTTCGGGGCGTCGGATCCTTGGAAGGGAGGGTGGGTCATCTCATAGAGAAGGGAGTCTCTTCGACGATGGACTGGAGGGGTTCGGGTAGGTTTGGTTTTGGGTATTTTGGGAATGCGATTTAGGAGGCGGTTATCGTTAGTTGGGTATTTGTGAGAAGTGTGCAGAGTTTGGATAGCTATTGTGTTAGTGGAGTTTACCGTGCGGTGGATATATTTCTGTTGAAGTTCTGTTAGTCTTGAAGCGATAGTGGGAGTTTTAGCGGAGGTGTGAACAGGCGAGGAAGGGAATTTGTAATCTAGTTTGAGGATTCTACGTAGGATTTTTCGTTCGCATGCTAGGATTCTGTTGAGAACTCATTGGGAGAGGGAAGTATAGAGAGGGGCTCGGTATTCTATGACAGGCCCGATGAAGGATTTGTAGGTGTAGGAGGGTTTCTGGGTTGCAGCCACGGATGCGACCGCGGATTAGGTAGAGGAGGTTGGCTCGGTTTCGGATCTTTTTTATGGTGAGGTCAGCTAGGAGAGAGCAAGTTTGGGAGAAGGTAATACCGAGGTGGTTTTGAGTTTAGGGATGGGTTGATTGTGGAGCGTGAGAATGTTACGGGAGAAGGCGAATTGTTTGGTCCTAGCATTGGGGTAGGAGATTAGGATTGATTGGGATTTTTTGGGATTGGAGGAGATTCTCCATTTATTGGCCCATTCCTCGAATTGGGGAAGGAGTTGCTGGATGTTGGCAGTGGCTCGGGTGGGGCATCTGTTGGAGGACCAGAAGGCCGTGTCGTCCGCGAACATCCTGGTCTTGGTTCGTGTGGTGTCTGAAAAGGGAAAATCACTGCAGTAAATCAAATACACAGGGGGTGACAGCACGGAGCATTGGGGGACCCCCGGCGTCTATGTTAACTGTTGTAGATTTTTACATTGCAGGATCTATTGGATAGGAATGAGTCCATGAGTAGGATGAAAGCGGGGTTCAGTTTTAGGGAGATAAGTTTGTGGATTAGGCCGTCGTGTCAGACTTTGTCAAAAGCACGTTCTATGTCTAAAAAGACTGCGACTATGCACTCTTTGAGGTTTGAGTGTCTGGTGGAGTCTATGTGGAGTTCCATTAGAGGGTTGATGGTGAAGCCATCTACGAGCAGATTTTCAGGTAACCTAACTTCAAGCCAGCGTGCTGAATAAAAATGTTTTCAGTATCCACGACAATCAGTCGATAGCCACATCGGATTGGCTGTCTGGACGCCGGTAACCTTTTCTAGGCAATGTCCCTATGCTGTTTTGTCGCAAGAAATTTCGCCTAAAACAAGACTACAGGTTGAGGCGAGAAGCATTCACGAAATTTTATGCAACCTTTACGCAACAAATGGACATCGGCTATGCAATTTTTTCTTCCGTCATTCTAAATTCTACATTATTTTGTACTTGTTGATCGTGCCAGCGGATAAAATTTTCTCGTTCGGCTAGTAACATGGAATTGTGACCGTAGAAATGCTTTTCAGGAATAGGCCCGATGTAGTTTTTATTCGCTGAACTTTAAAAAAAATGCGGGAAATACCCCTTGTCCTCCAATTTAAATTCCGCTGGAAAACGTGACGTAGGCAGCTGGATAAAATTAAGAATGTCTATGAATCTGATAGCTGAGCCATCCTCAACTGTTATCAATTTTATACCAGTGCGTGTTACCTCGGATCTCTGCTCACATTCCTAAAAAGTGTTTAGAACAAAAAGCACCTGTCGAGACCTTTATTGCTGTGAGCAATAGCTGTTACCTTAAACCTCTTCGACATTCATTGCAGCTATATGCTCTAGCAAATTGTCTACAGACGATTCAGTATAAATTATCCTCAGATCACAATTAGTGCATTCGCCGTAGACATCGTTGCTCGTTATATAGAGACGACAAGCTTTTTGCAGTACATATAGATTGGGCTCGTGCAAATAAGTATTTTCGCTAAGCTGCGGGTCCTTTGTGGTTTCTAGGCCGTAAAAGATAAATAAAAATGTACAAGCATTTTCCAAAGCCTTGTCAAGAAATAGCTGGGCTGCATCTGGCAAAAAAATCGAATAGGCATATTGGTTCTACAAACTTTGCAGTACTTCACGCCACAAACGTGTTGAGACTTTTTATTGCACATTTTAGAAACTTTGTGTTTATTCAAACACTCATTTCCCCGAAAATATCTCAAACACAAATTACACTTTATAACGGCTGAATCTATACGACATGGGGGATTGGCATGACATCAGGGACATACTGGTATGTATGGACAATTTTTGCGTCTCTCGCCCCTTGAATATCTCACCCGACAGAGCTCGCATTGATAAGATGTGGAAAATGTGCCTGTTGAACTTAATCACATCACATTATAGTGTTCATCTTCTTTAATTAAATTTAAGCACTTTTTATTTGGAGCGCTGTCACTCTCAAAATAAACAGAAATAACAATCTCTGCGTTTGTAGACGACGATTGTGTAATCTGTTAAAAAATGCTGAAAATCATTAATATGATATAATTCCCTCTGTTACTCAAATTCACGTTTGCCAAACGAGATAGACTGTTAATTCTTTTGATATGATTAAAGCAGCACATAGACACGCATTGTCATCATTGCGCACCAGTGATCTAATAGTATATGGATGGAGCATTGACTATGCAATAGCGTTGTGCACATGAAGCCAACACAGGATCACGTCTCTGGGGTCTGATTTGGCGCGAATTTAAACAACTCGCGAACGGTACAACCATTATTTTACTAATTTTAGGTAGGAAAATATAAATTTCAACAAATATTAACCAACATTTTTATTTCAAATTAATAAGAAACATTTGAATTTTGAACATTTTCGTGAACACTGTTTTACCACACGATGTAGGACCAGCAGTGATAGCTGTAAATGGTTGCCCAAATCTTAAATCCATATTGATGATAAATGTGTTTTGTTTTAATTTATTTATTTATATGTACTATTTTGGTTACATTTATATAATATGCGTGTTACATTTCTTGCGTATAGTAGTAATAATCGTTATGTTCTCTAAAGTACTTGATGCGTTTCTTAACATGACATATTAAAGTTTATGGTGTCTTCATGAACATCTCATGTAAGATCCAGTCTTCGGCATAACCTTTTGATATAAAATCAAGAAGTGCTTCTTCAATATCAGCCATCTTTCTCCTTTTCATTTCAGGAACACGAATATTCGCAAAGCACCGTTTTCGGATATCCCATTTGTAGCTATAAATTTAAATATTTTTAGAATTATTATTATTTTTTAACAAAAAAATTAACTTACCAATTTGTTGAGAAGTAAACAGGTATTTAGAGCACGAAATGCAGGTTTCTTTCAAGCAATACCAGAAGAAGAACAGTAATCTGAATTAGTGAATGTATTGGTTTGGACGCTATATATATCCTCATATGCGGAATGGGACTATTTGGCGCGGCCGACTTGGCGCGAGACATTTTGGCGCAAAGCCAACTTGGCGCAGGGATACTTTGGCGCAAGCCATCTTGCCCATCTTCCAGAACTGGTGTAAAAAAAAATGGTATGTTGTTTGGGGTCATCAGCATCAGGTATTCCAAATAACCATTTTAATCCAGTTGATACTCCATTGACAATTCCACGTTTCTTACGAGAATGTGTAAAATTATGGCCTGTTAAGTGAGATATAATTTCTATTTTTTTTCTATTTGTAAAATCTGAACTTCCATAAGTCTTAAAGATTGAATACAGAATATCAATGAATTATCAAAATCTTTAGAAACATTACAAATCGCTTGACTTTTAGTAAAAATATTTTTTATAAGGAGTGCTTTCCGTTGATATATTGAGATGTTACTATAAGTGATCAAGAGAGGTGACTACTGAAAGTTTTCACATTTCCTAAGTTATCATAAAAAAATTCCGCAGCAGAATTAATCTGTGTTATTGCATACATATCACTTCAACAATTTCCAAGAAGAAGTATAGTTGCCACGTAAAGCATGAGAAAATAAATGGGTATCTTATTGGTCCTCATCTGGAGTTTCTGGAAAAAAAGGTTTCAATAAGTTATTATGATAAATGACATTTATGTTTTTTATTCTTACTACTATGGTTTGGCCAGGGTAAACTTTTATAAAAAATTTATATGGACTTCTAAAATTAGGAGCGAGTTTTTTATTAATTCCAGGTTTAGAAGACTTATCTAGAACAGAAACGAAATCTCCAACTTTATATTCCTGATTATCAACCTTTTTATCATAATAAGTTTTAGAATTAAATTTGCTTTTAATAATGTTTTGTCAAGCGATATCAAAAGATTTATTTAATCGTAATTTAAGCTGTAAATGAGAATCATCATAAGTATGTATACCGCAAGTCGGGTAACGAAGGTAATGACTGGGATAATAGCTTTGTGACCAAAAATTAATTCGTAAGGTGTAAATTGGGTGGTAGAATGAATAATTGTATTATAACAAAATATTTCAGGTAATGTAAATTTATCTCAATTGTTTTAAGTTTCTTTAATATAATGTTTTAAATAGTCGTTTAGATTTGAATGAAATCTTTCGAGAGAACCATTAGATTGTGGATGGTTTACGGACGTAGTTATGTGTCCGATTTTAAAAAGTGTATTTACTTCTGAAATCAATTTTGATGTAATGTCAGTACCATTGTCAGTTAGAATGCATTTAGAAATACCAAACAGCATAATAAATAGAAATAATTGTTCAGTAGTTGAGCAAATTTTGTTAGGTCATTCCGAAACGTTAAAACGAACCTGTTGTTGTCTTCCGTAATCGGCAAAGGACATACGATATTGACAGAAAGTTTTTCCAAGGGTTGGTTTGAGGTCGACGTGATTTTCATAGGTGCTTTTGTAGGATGTCTGTTAGTCTTATTTTTTTGGCAAAATTCACACCTTTAATAAATCGTTTTATTTCTTTTGTACTGAGGACTGATATAAATTGGGCATTTTCGCAATTTTGGAGAAAATTGTAAAGGCCATTACAATCGCCCGAAAATGTTCCTGGAAGTAAAGCACGAATGTCGGAAAGACTGTACGATTCGTTAATGGTTTAAGTTTCGGAATTGCGGGGCATTTTGATTTTATTAAAGGATTGGACGGTGTTAACAAGATAACAAAAAAAAAAAATTCCATATACCAGTTTCTGACGATTAAGTTGGACTTCTTGTTGTATTTGTCGGATAAAAAATATGTTTATATCTATCCCACTTCTGACATCAGTATGTTATAAACTCCTGTCTTTGGTTGCCTCAGAAAAACCAAGATTCCAATTTCACCATTTATTAACAAAATACTTCTTGAATGTAGTACAATAAGTATCCTAAAATACGGGATAACTGAAGGGAACCGATGTGGACTGTGTTGATAACCGCGGAATGTGTGGTGCTTGTATTTTATGTACTCGGTTTACAAATAGATAATGATTACAGATAAGTAAATATAAATAGGACATTATACCGAGCACGAGATGCATGAAATGGGTGAAAGACATGATAATATAATCTAATTGTATATATAGAAAAATAAACAAATTATGGAATAGGCACATAACAAAGTTTACGTACTGAACAAATGTACAAATGTCATTTTCAGAACAACTGTAAGTCTTGTATAAATAAGTATATGATTCCAAAAATGGATCGACACCGTTAACAGAAAGAAAACATTCACCAAATTTTATGCAACCTTTACGCAACAAGTCGAATCGGTAGTGCAATATTTTTGAATTTCTTCCGTCATTCTAAATTCTACATTATTTTGTAGTTGTTGACTGTGCCAGCGGATACATTTTTCCCGTTCGGCTGGAAGCATGGAATTGCGACTGTAGAAATGCTTTTCAGGGATAGGTCCGGTGTAGTTTTTATTCGCTGAAGTATTAAAGAAAATGTGGGAAATATTCCTTGAAGCCCTCAAATTTAAATTCCGCTGGAAAACGTGCTATAGGCAGCTGGATACAATTAAGAATGTCTATGTATCTTATAGCGATGCCACACCCAATTGTTATCAGTTTTGTACCAGTGCGTGTTACCTCGGGTATCCATCTGCTCATATTTCCAAAAATTTTTTGGAGCACAACGCCCCCGACGACACCCTTGGTTGTGAGCAATCGCTGTTACCTTAAACCTCTTCGACATTTCAGTTATATGCTCTAGCAAATTGTTTACAGGCGCTTTACCATAAATTATATGCCTCTGACCACAATTAGGGCATTCGCTGTAGACATCGTTGCTCGTTATAAACAGACGACAAGATTTTTGTAGTACATACAAATTGGGCTCGTACAAATACGTATTTTCGCTAAGCTGCTGGTCCTGTGTGGTTTCTAAGTCGTAAAAGATAAATAAAAATGTATGAGCATTTTCCAAAGCCTCAAATTTCGAATAGTAGTTCGACAAATCTTGCAGTACGTCACGCCACAAACGTGTTTAGACTTTTTATTATTATTATGCCAAACATGCGGCCGACATTTGACACATAATTTAGAGAGTTTGTGTTAATTCAAACACTCATTTCCCCGAAAATATCTCAAACACAAGTCACACTTTATAACGGCTGAATCTATACGACATGGAGGATTGCCATGGCAACAAGGACATATGTATGGGCAATTTTTGTGTGTATCGCCCCATAAGTATCTCACCCGACAGAGCTCGCAATAATAAGATGTGGAACATGCGCCTGTTGAACTTAATCACATCACATTATAGTGTTCATCTTCTTTAATTAAATTTAAGCACTTTTTCTTTGGAACGCTGAAACAGACAATTTATTGAAGTAATAATTTACATATCTTTAGCCACTGTAACGACATGTCGTTCACGTCAATATATGTGCTGTATTTTGAGCGCTAAAATTATTCATGATCTCCCTCCACGTTTCTTCATTCTTATTCTTCAAAACATTAAATCGGTATTTTTGTTTTTCATAATATGAGAACAACTTTTTATTAAATTTAAACACAAAACTTTTTCATCTGGGGAAAAAATCACCCACCTCTTTTGTTTGGTTTTTGGTTCATCAAATAAAAAAAAACATTTACAACAAATCAAAAATACTTAGCTCATATTACCAATTTTAAATAGATGACACAAACTTATTGCAAATAATTATTAATATTCTTATTTACATTTGTCTGTAGCATTGCAGCCATTCCATGATAACGGACAGGACATGTGGATGCAAAATTATTTGTTAATTTTGCATTTCTTACAGTATTATTGTTATAATAAATAAAACAAAATATAGAAATATTAGCAGATTTAATAAAGCCTTTTGACATTCGCTTATGGATGACACGTGCTGCTGTTGTGACCAATGAAAAAATTTTGAAAAGTGATAACGGATGGGACACGATATTACCCACCGTGAAAACTTTAGTTAATTTAATCGGAATTTTCTGCGAATTACTGTAAGTATTAACTATGAAATTGACAAATGTGAAATAAACTAAGATTGAACAATTGCTTGGCACAATATTTTTTTTTGATAGCTCGTAGTATGTTATTGTATCGATGTTTCATAACAACTAGTGTTGATAACGGACTAGACATAACGGATGGTACAAACAAAATCAATTTTTTTTATTCAAACGTAAACTATTTAAAAACACGACAAGTATCAAAATTAGGTACATACATACTTCATTTTGAGTATTGCAACAGATATGCTCTAAAAGTTCTTTCCCAGTTGCGGGAAAAATTGGTATCAGTTCATGAAGTGTTCCAACAATAAAATTAAAATTTGCGTGATATTTGCATACGCACACATTATGAGGCGTTTCAGAAGACAATAACACATGTTGAGGTCTCATGCTGTAGAACTTACTTATATGTATCTTGCAATCTGGATATTCGTCTTTATATAAAACAAATGCTTCTTTTACTGCCATTACCATATGACGTTTTTGAAAGACTTCTCTTTTACCGGAAGATACGTTTTTAACACTTTTCGTGTCTCTTTTTCCGGGCGCCTGTCTGCTGATATCATCACGAAGATAAAAGTCGACGATTTTTTTTTGTTCTTCTTTCGTAAGGGCCCGCGCTGAATTAGTTGCAAATGTAGATGCTTTTGAGGTTGCAGGTTGTATTTGAAAAAGCAGTTGTTTAACTACTGCCTCTCGTTTACGAGGACTCGCGGGCAGCACGCTTTTTACTTTCTTCACAGCTTTTTCCAATGATTGAGGACACTTATATGGAAATACTGCTTCTTTTTTTTGTTTTGCTGTTTCTTTTAGTTTTAATCTGTAGATTCTTTTACGTTCTGCTGCTTTTTGTTTTTTAATTTTATGTAGAGTAGGATTTTTCACAAGAAAATTTCTTTCAACAACCCTTTCTGCCCGTTTTCTTTGGGCATCTTTTTCGCGGTTCCACTTTGCTTTTACAGGATCCGCGTTAATACTCTGCCGGTAGCGACGCATTGCTTGCCGTACTTTTTCTTTACGTACTACCTCGACACTCATACCTAGAATAACATTAAATGAAGAAGCGTCATGATAAAATAATAGTTAAGGAAAAATGTTTTTAAAGATCAGAATTATGATAATGGACGGGACAGATTTAAAAAAATCAAATTATTTACTTGTTGTTATTTAATTTTTAAGTGATTAAAACTTTGAGAAGAACTTGTACTTAAATAGAGAAAAGCATTAACAAATTGATTTAAAAGTCGGAGTTTTACTCAAGTTCTCAACTTATCCGCGTTTTTGATAACGGATGGGACATCTATGCATTGAAAGTCTAAAATTAACGTATTTCACCCCAATACTTACCGTTTGTGATAACTATTAACACAAAACTGATTAAACTGAGACACTTTTCAATAACTTATTATAAGGTTATGCAAGTGTCAACATCAGTAGTTATATAGTGGGGGTTCTAGACCAGGTCAAATGAGGTCAAACTGGTCCAGCTCCCCCATTACTTTTCATCGAGCGGTCATTGACCTTTCATTTGTTGTCGAGCTTGTCGGTGCACGTGGCTGACCTTGCCAGCTGGTCCAGCTCCCCCATTACTTTTCATCGGGCGATCATTGACCTAGTCGTTGCTCGACCTTGGTCGTTTATTGCCCTCGTTCATCTCAAGATCTATCCCCTCTTTTCGTTTAGGTCGGGGAGGGATCTCGGACGCAATCTCGCATCCCCACTTCCGTTTTATACTTGTATAAAAGTCGATGGATTCGTGTGTAAGAATTAATTAGTTTTTTGAATTCAATTATTTAACACTTAGAAATGTCATCTTTCATTTCTACCTTGAATAAAGAGTCTCACTTGCAAGCTTTTGTGAGTGCGAAAACTTTAGAAGAAAATAAAAAATTTTTAACAAAAAATTTTAGTAAACTGTCTACAAAGTACGGTGACAAGATATTTGTGCAACTTGAAGAGTCTAGAACGATACTTCCACAGAGATTTACCGAAAAATTCACCGACTCAGTGATCAGCGATCTGAACCAGAAGATCGTGAACGGCTTGAAATTGTACTTGGTAAATAGAGGTCCGATCGGTCGAACCATCAATATCGAATTTATCGAAGAATGAAGAAGGCATTGGTTCATGTGGAAAACAAATCAAGTGCAGTTAGACTGCTTCGTCGTAGATTAGAATTACATTTAAAACGAATTAGTTATTTAAAAGAAGCAATTAAAATGTATGAAATAAGAACTAAATTGAATAATCTTAAGCTGTAATAGAAATTATAATAAATATTATTTAATTCGTTCGGTGTATTATTTTCCCCAGTCTCATGTAAAAAATATTTGATTGCAAACTGTCATGAATAACAGACGTGTTTGTTTCGACAAAGTTCCGGTTATTTTCTTAATAAATGATAAAGAAAGCCGAATTAATACTTGGTTATACGATGTTAAAAGATTTCAAATGAATGTGGAACGTTTCGAATTGCAAATAAAGCCCTTAATCGAAAAAATGATGGAGAAGAAGCGAAAATTTAGAGAAACAATCGAAAAATTGGATTCAGAATTGAAAATTATTCAGCAAAGAAAATCAGTTAAATAACTGTGCACATTGCGGTTAAACCACTGCGTCGTAAATTAGATTTAAATTTAAAACTTATTAGTTTCTTAAAATGTATAAAATACGAACTAGTTTGTATAATCTTAAGCTGTAATTGAAATTATAATAAATATTGTTTATTTCGTTTGGTGTATTATTTTCCCCAGTCTCATCTAAAATTATTTAATTGGGAATAACAGCAACGAATAAAAGCCGTGTTTGCTCCGACAAAACTCCTGTTATTTTCTTAATAAATAAATGTTCATCAGCAACTTTCTGCCGATTTAAGCTTATTTGTCCGTGATTATTAGAATAAAATCTCAAATGTCAGAAGGCGAGTGTGTTGTTAAAAATTAAAAAAATTGTTACTTACGACATTGAAAACAGGCAATAAAATCATCCGTTCTCCCTCGAAAACATTCAAATACACGCACACTTCACAGAAGCCACCATTTAGTTCAACAAAACCACCTTTTTCCCAAATCTTTTCACGGTAAAATTCATAAACCGAAAC